GTAAACTATTGAAAGCTTAAAAGCTATAATAAGTTGGAAATATTGTTTTGCGCTACTGCGAGTCTGTTTTTCGCATCAGCGGTGTCGGTTCACATCTCGGTCTTGATTCGTACTTTTATGGTTACAACGTCGTATGAAAGAAAGCTGATTTTTTTCCAATGTTTTTATCAAGGGCAACCTTGTTTCGGGAGTGGCGATTGTTTGCGCCTTCGTCATTCGCAGCCTATACTTTCCGAAAGATTGGAAATTACTGGAACCGTCCCTAGGGCTAGCGCAATGAATATCAAAGAATTCCGTCATAACTTCACTTAATTCTTGAGATTATCCTTTCTCACAATCAGGAAATTTTTTTGTTCTCTTTACTGCAGCAGTAACATCTGATCTACTATGAAAATGAAGTAAATTCCAAGTAAGATGTATATTACAATAACATGTGAAGTAAAAACAGTGTGATAAAAGGATATCCGATGGGTAGTGTTTGATCAAACAATCTTTTCGAAGGAGAAGTTTTTGTTTAGACGATGATCAGAAACTATGTCAACTAGTAAGTTTCTTCTTGCATCCACTTGTTGGTCTTAACATTAGAGCTAAAAGCTGGGATTCTGATTGCTTTTTCGAAAGCACGATAATACTGTCATAATATGTATATTATATCAATGAATTCCAAGATCGTGAGAGCTGCCCTCGTATCAATAGCATCCCGATACAAGGGACATTCTTCTTATACTCCTTTGACACAACATTAAAGCATTCTTTCACAACATGTCACCGAATTTCGTTATTAGTTTGGAAATCTCAAATTGTTTCGAGATGTTGATTTGTTTATTAAGTAAATCTTTATGCATAGTATACTTTGCAACAGAAATTTTTCTCTAGTGACTGAATATGGAGTGATTTCGAAATCCATAAATACCGACTAAACTAATATAGACTAACTTAGAGATTTGTAAGTTTGAATAAGCGTACCAAATAAATATCGAATGAGTATTCGAATGATTTATTCGAATATTTATTTGATATTTATTGACCGTATTTAAAACTTGTTGACATACCCACACGGTCAATGGCTTTTCATCACACTCGAATATTTCGAATAATATTTTCATTCTAATATCAAGTCGTATTAGACATTCGAATGAAACTTTCGAAGAATATTCATTCAAAACCTCAATTTCCAAAGAATCGAGTGAACGAATTCTATTCGAAACTCGGATTATTCGAGTCCTCGAACTTTATTCGGTACCCCGTTTTCTGATCGATTACCCGAGTTTTCAAACTTAGTTCGAAAATTAAAATTTAAAAGGCTGTCTAATGAATGCGAATTATTCAAATGTTTTATTCGAATTGCACCGAGTTGTAATGTCCTCGTGACTGGTACCGCTTAGGTAGAATCAAGCTTTTGTGAGCGCAAAGATAAGGAAAATTAATTTGAGATGCAGTAGTTTTTGTGCTTGTTTGGATAAAAAGATGATTTACCTTTATGAAAAACCTGGTTTCATGCGATTTTTTGGAGCCGCTGTTGTGTGGAATCGGAGTGAGCATAAATTTTGTATGGCATACTCGTAGCAAGCAAGCCGCAGGTGCTAGTCTTCTCTTGCGCTTGTAGCTTTACGAGATTTTTATTGTTAGAAAATTCATGCATAGTTTCGCAAAGTCATCTTATCAACTAAGAAAGAACAGCTTTACTCAATCTCAAAAAATTGTGCGATTTCATATTCAGCCCACAATCCTAAACAATCACACATCAGAACAAAAGCTTTTGCCGCGTTTACTCGTTAATAAACGTTCGAACAAGGATAGACAAACATTTTGCTCTACATTGTACACGCTCTTCTTTTTCTTTCCAGGGATTCAAACTTTTCCTCAAGTTTGGCGACTGCTCGAACATGTACGGAATGTCTTAATTTAGATTTATCTTTAAATTTTGTTCTTCTTATTGTTGTGACCTTCAACTTGCCGTTTTAAACTCTTAAGAGAGGTTAGGGAAGCAGATAGAGCAAACCTCAACCTTCGATCAAACAAATTTTCAGCATTGTAGGTGGTCTAGTCGCAGATCACACCGGGCTTCTGACCCAGTTACCTTTCCATGAAATAGGTGAGCCAATTGTGCTCAAAGTGTTTGTCTATCATTACTCTATGCGACAGGCATAATTTCGGAACCTTCTGAGGTTGAAAGTAATAAGAAACAATATATCCTTATTATTGAATAAAGATCAGTGCCAACAAGCTATATATTAATCACTTGCATAATTTCGTAAAGCGCAAACGCCGACGGAGGCGGCACGCGTTTGGTGCAGCTTTCGTGGCCGTTTCGAGATCTTGGCTTTGTCATTAAAATGTTTTGAAGATGTGCCAACGTTTTCACTACAAACTTTTCAAGACAGCAATTTTCAACGATATGTATCGGTTTAAAAAAGAATAAGTGGCACAGAAATGGATCTGCTCTAGCTCGTACAGTCACATCCATAATCTCAGATCACTAACTTGAAGTTGGTGGGAAACGGAACTTATCTACCCAACGAAGACTTGCCGCAACGTAGCTATAGAGGTCATGAACTGTCAGCAACGTTATTAGCACCCAATTGTACCCTAAAAGAGCTCATCTTGCAATGCATGGAACCATGATTTTATTAAAATTTTGAACTCAAAGTTCAGATGCAATTCTTGTTCAGTGCGATAAAAATTAGTTTTTTTTGGAAACCAACAGTATATACGGGAACACCATTCAAGAAAATCTCTAAATATCAATTTTCACCTCAATTGGACGGAACTTACTACTGAACTTTGGGTTCGAGATTTCACGAAAATCTCGGTTTCACGTATTAGGACGATGAGGGTAAGCTACTGTCCGTGCAAAAATCAGCTCCACTACATGCAAACTGAATGCTGATTAGCGTTGCTGACAGTTCATGACCTCTATAACTAACAAGGGAAGGAAGGTTGGTCGAAGTGGCCTTTTGAAATGAGGTGTATACCGCCTTGTAGAGCTTGTAACACTGATTCCAAATCTACCTTTGCTATCTGCTGCGGGCTTCTGGGCGAGGAGTTATGAAGGTTTCTGTGAGTAAAAATCTGAATGCAAAAATAGGGTAAAATCAGTCGTAACCTTTTCCCAATGTTCAAATGAGGCAGCAGCGAATTGGTAATATCTGCTCCAAGACGAAGGCGGTCGCCCAAATAGGTTGAAAGCATGCGAGGCTGCAGCGCGCGGGCAATTGTCAACCACAGGTCGCGCGCACGCTCAGTCAGCGGTCGCTCACGGGAGCGTACGCGCGACCCGTGGTTGACAATTGCCCGCGCGCTGCAGCCTCGCATGCTTCCAACCTATTTGGGCGACCGCCTTCGTCATGGAGCAGATATTATGTTTGAATCAAGAATATCTGTTGCACCGAGTGACCCGACTACCAACTAAACCCAATAAAAAATGTCAAGACTGATTTTAGCCGGGTATATGTCAAGAATAACGATAGGTGGCAATAGTGGCACCCTGAGTGCCCGGGTGTCAATAAACGGTGCACTGGTAGCACCGCCACAGCAGCGGACGATCTTACGCAGGCTTTACATTTTGAAGCGGTAAATGCCCAAAACTTTGTTTTTCTTCAAAAATGCTTTATGTTAAGGCTTCTGCTATTTTTTAAAGATGGAAGTAATCAGCAATCACATCGCTATAAACATGCGATAGAAATGTTTTGGGCTCAATCCAGCATGTGAAATGCGTAAGCTTGTTTGGTCGTTGTAGAAAACGATTTTCAATGAAGAGAACTGAAGTTTGAATAATTGCTCTCAACTTCATGAATGAGTGAGGGTGGGCTGTTCTGCGCGCGCGAGCAGCTGGCAGCTAGCGGCTGGCAGAGCTATCGTTATTCTTGACCGCCACCCATTTTAGCCTACTCTTGCGTTCAGATTTTTACTCACAAAAACCTCCATAACTTCTCGACCAGAAGCCCGCAGCAGATAGCAACGGTAGATTTGGAATCAGCGTTCCAAGCTCTACAAGGCAGTATACATCACATTTCAAAAGACCACTTCGACCAACCTTCCTTTCCTTGTAAGTGGTGGCAAATCTTCGGGTAGATAAGTTCCCTCACCTGAAATTGTTATGTTTTAAAGACTGATTTTCCGATAGCAAATTTGCTTTAAGTGGTTGCTATCTCATCTTCTGCTAAATCAAGGATTTCGCCAAAATATTAGGTAAAAGCTGTGGTTTTTCTACAGCCGAATTGTCTTGTTGGCAAATCTGTTGGTATGTGCTGTACTTCTATTTGGCATGTGCCCACCCGAAAGCCCTCTGTACGAGCGGAAATCAATTTCTACTTTTTCTTTTATTATTGTCTCATAATTTTTTTACCGCTTTTACTACAACCGCCGTATTTTCGTATCTTTCGTTCATCTATTGTGGTTTGAGTATTCGACAGGGCAAAGCAAGCTCTACAAGATGGCTATCAAAAGTCTGCCCAAATCGATACCACGTCAAGTTTTGAGCTGAAATCTGATAGTAATCAAAAGCGAACTTTTGTGTCAAAATTCCTATCTCCTCCCCAAAGTGGCTAAAAAATTCCTCATTTATCCTAGCATATGCTTGACATATCGCACATAATGTACACTTTCCGATTATTTCCATGGTTAAAATAAAGAAAAAAATGAATGAGGTAAAATGGCAAACTCCACCCTTGGATGTCCTGAGCTCTTCCCATGCATGTGATTATATGTCTCATACATACAGAAGTACAATCATGTATTTGCATCCTTTGTAGGTGCCTCAATTATTGAGAAATGCTGATGTTCAGGGTAAAAACGGTAAGAAATTATTAGACACCCTATTAGTTACTCGTATCTGTGAACTCCTGCTTAACCACATATGTATGATAAGTAATAAACACGTGCCAAATTTGTTGGAACCTACATTTTACTATATTATTACTTGCTGTCATAATATTTTCAATACATGTTTATTTTCAACATGTGCTTGTAATCGGTGATGATATCTCACTACGCTTGACCTATGCTGGAACTATGCCAGATTTCATAGTTCCGTGGCTTTCTTTGTCTTGGGGAGGTGGAGGTGGGGCTAATTCTTTTTCAGCAGCAGGCGCGGAATGGGGAGGTGGATCCCGCTCTTCTACCTCTCTTTCAGGCAAACCAGATCTGCCTAGGTCACTTCTATCGCTAGGCGGGTATTGTTGGCTTGGTCCTTCCTTGCCAACAGACGAAGTGTTTCCAAGTGATTCTCCCTCCTGGGGACCGGCAGATTGACTATGTGCGTTTTTCGAACCGGAAGGTAGGCTCTGTTCGCCGCCTTCTTCCCTAATGGGAGGACCAACAGATGGATTCTCGTTTGTCATCTCGGAACCGCTAGGTGGTTTCGGTAAGTCTTGCCCTTTGAGGGAATCGGCAGATTCGCTCTCTCCGGGGTGCTTAGCAGGTGGGGCTAATTCTTTCCCAGGGGCAGGCGCGGAATGCTCGTGCTCGCTTCCTTTCTCCTGGTGCTGCCTCTTCGTTTGACAGGGTTCTTTCTTCGATGGACAATCTTTCTTTTCCTTCTTATCTTTCTTGTGCTTCTTTCCCTTCTTTCCTCCTTTATTGGGCGAAAATATGGTGGCGCATGTGACCTTGGGTCCGAAGTGCGAGCAACCAAGAAGAAGAGTTTTAGGTCCTTTTTTATCCTAAAATGAAACGGTTTGTTGCTGCTCATTACCATGGATTACAGCGTTAAAATCGATTTATTAAGCGAGAAAGTTCGGTATAACGTAGACTTTGAGCAGATCGGAAAATTAGTTTGGACGCGCATGCATTAGAAAAGTATTGACCGTGCGCTATAGAGGTGATTTAAACACACAGCTCAATATGGTTCATGGCTGTTGCGGCGACGAGCAGCATTTGAGCCGTGCGTCGCATAGTCCGTGCGGTTGGTGAATTACTCGTACTGATCAAACGTTTTACTCATGCCAAAACGATGCTAACCGAATCGGAAGGGTACAATGATTTGCAAAAAATTATATCGAAATTGTTTTCTACTTACCCCATATTTATCGAAATATCCTTGCAGGAGATGTGCCATATCCGCGTAGCCCCGTCGATCTCTGTATAACTGCATAAAATCATTGAAAAAAGTTTTTTTTTGAGAACTTACCGTCCAACGTCCATTGTCTCATATGTGAAACCACATTCGAGAGCCCGCGGAATTTCCTTTTTATTTAACACAGAGCAGGCAACATGTTGCAAATTAGGCAAAGGAATCTGAAGCAAGGTTCGTTTTGAATTAAGTATTGATTCTCAGCGGGTTTCTGGTGTGAAAACTGAAAAATCAAGGCTCCGTAGTAGTAGTTTCACATAGATTTCAATTCTACTCCTCTCGCTCACTAGTAAAAAGATCGAATTAAAACGCCCGTTGTTCATTGTTTTATCTCAAATGTGTTACTCCGGCAGGTAATCAAGTCAACTTATACGTTTTTGTGTTGACTTGAGTCATAGCATCGCAATACATCAGACCAACCATTTGTAGACCATTCCTGAAATTTTGCCCGACCAATGTCTCGGTTGTTTTCGAAAAGTTGCCCGTGATCGACACGGTTTCCACACATTCTTCATCAATGTATAGCTTGTAATCGATTTTATTTTTGCAGTTTTCTCCAGTTTCTGGACTTTTTTTCGACAGCACCGTCTCTATCAGAATCTGACCAAAAATACATATCTCAAAGCGTGAAAATCAAATTCTTCGAACTTACAAGAAGTGAGAAAATGTAACGGCGCATTGGCTTGTCTGCTGCTTGTGTACTCACGATCCCTTTTATAGGATTTGATGAGCGCTTGGAATTGCCTGATTGTGTCGTACTAAATTTGTTCTTTTCAAATGAATTTTGGACTGAGAACACTTAGACTATTACAGCACTGGTTTTTTGGTGAACTTCCAATGAACTTTGAAAATGTGTAAATGTTTTTGAACAAAACTCAGCATTTATGTACAGCTCAATTCTAGCAAAGACAATGTGCCACTGACTGTGGACACTGCCGAGTTCTTCAGATCAAGCGCACTTTCATCCTTCTCATTCTTCTCTTTTTTGAGCCTAACTCAAGCGGTAAATTTCTTGGCTCGGCACGATTTTACTATCTTGAGTCTGGCAAAATGAGCCAAAATGACCAGATTTGGTATGTTAACTTTTATTTCCTTATAGTTAGTCGAATGCTAATGCTCTATGTTTTTTACATGCTTGTCAGCTGGGGCGCCCTAAGTAAGAAAAGTAGTAATGATCATGATTTGCAGACAGAAATGATATACTACGATATGCCTTTGATAGTAAATTGCGCGAAAGAAAGTAAGAGTTCTCATAAGTTTCAGTTTCATCTAACTGCAATGAATCGTACACTTGCTGATTCTATAGAAGCAGGGTACCATTCATTAGAGCAAAGCAAGCTCTATGAGATAGCATACAGTGCTGGACATAATTATACAGCCACTCTAGAAATCGTCGTAATTTTTGTTCTTGTCAATGAATCTGTCTGAAACTTTGCTGTATTGTGCGCATGTCAACCTACCATAACCCCTCAAAACGGCTTCCAGTCTTGTTGAGTTTGAACGGAGAAAAACGAAAAAAAAATCGAAAAAGCCTTCTTTGAAAGCTGGACAAAATTATACAGCCACCTGGTTTTTCTAATCACTATCGCATTCGTTGACTCTCAAATTTTTTTGTACAATTACATCCCAAAATATGAAACATTTGCGAGACTTACGGCCTGTCTTCTTACTCAAATAGAAGCAATCGCTGCATTTCTTGCTTTTAAAAGCATTAAAAGTCAATCTCCTTCAACAAACAACTGCTTTAAAGAGTTTTCAAGCTCTTGTTTATTCCAAGTGATAATCACGGAATCTACTGACCCTTTTGGATAGATGAGGTAAAGAGCGCTTTCGTAAACTCTGCGTAATCACTGATTTTGACGGACAGACTCCAACCTCAACCTCAACAACATGCAAACTGAGTTTTGTGGTTCAAAAGCGTTCCAAGCCTATGTTGAGGTTGGAGTCTGTCCGTCAAATCAGCGATTACGCAGAGTTTACGGAAGCGCTCTTCACCTCATCTATCCAGAAGGGTCAGTAGATTCCATGATTATCATTTGAAATGAACAAAAGCTTGACAACTCTTTAAAGCAGTTGTTTGTTGAAGGAGATTGACTTTTAATGCTTTTATAAGCAAGAAATGCAGCGATTGCTTCTATTTGAGTAGGAAGACAGGCCTAAGTGTCGCAAATGTTTCATATTTTGGGATGTAAATGTACAAAAAAAATTTGAGAGTCAACGAATGCGATAGTGATTAGAAAAACCAGGTGGCTGTATAATTTTGTCCAGCTTTCAAAGAGGGTTTTTTTCGATTTTTTTCGTTTTTCTCCGTTCAAACTCAACAAGACTGGAAGCCGTTTTGAGGGGTTATGGTAGGTTGACATGCGCACAATACAGCAAAGTTTCAGACAGATTCATTGACAAGAACAAAAATTACGACGATTTCTAGAGCGGCTGTATAATTATGTCCAGCACTGTATAAGCGTAGGCGACGGCTTCAGTACACCGCGATTTAGAAGCCGAAATGTAAGAAGATCAAATTGAAAGTTCTTCGTTCAAAACATACTCAACGGATTTCCACTAGTCCACGGATATGCGCACCACATCAGGCAATCATATACGCCTTTTCTGCATTTTTCTCTGGGCTAAAAACTGGAAAAATGAAAACATGCTTTAAAAAGCGACACTGCGCTTTTACCAAACAGGTAAACGTATCTACAATCCTTTGGAAGTATAATCGTAGAATTTCGCTTCCCGCAAGCGTTAGTTTTCAAGAAATATTAGATTTAGCTTTTGTTGCTTGAGTCTTTGATGTTGAAATTGATTTGTTCTCGGAAACTAGAGCTTATAGAAAGCTGAAAATGTGCGGTTATACTTTCAAAGAATCATAACAATGTAGTTTACACGTGCTTATGTGGAACAGCGCAGCATCGCTTTTTCAGAAACATGAAATTTTTCGTTTTCTCAGTTTTTAAGTTGGGAAAAATGCATTTAAGTTTTTTGAAAAAAAATCTAAGTTTTTTCGGTACTTCCGTTATCCGGACCCATTTTTTCAAACAAAAGATATTGCTTCTATCCTTATACCATATTTTGTCCCAGCTTCACAGGAAGGATTGTCAATCTTCTCCCACGTGTCAAAAAACTTTGACATGTCATCTACATGTTTAACAGGTTTTACCAAGAGTTTGTTTACCCTACTAGCCATGCAGTTTCAATGTTTTTGGTCAGTTTTGACCTCATTTCGATCAAACGGTTTCAAAGTGAACATTGTCATAATAATGACGATATACTGTTATCGATGAACAGTCTAGCTTGCTCAGAATAGAGAAGTTCGCTAGGATTATTTGAAAGGCGAAATAAACAGCAGCAGAATACTTTAAGCTATCACTTATAGCCTTTTCTGACTAAGTTCTCATTGTGAAAAGGGTTTGAAGAGAAAGACATTTGTGATCGTTGCTGAAAGCAAGTAAGATGTTCTAGAATAAGTTCATGATTGTCTTTCTCTTACGCAAAACAGTCGAAGCTTCAAAATGGACACAAATTCTCATTTAACTCACCGGAAATGATTTCGAAAAACATGTCAAAATGGACATGGACCAAAGCATGCCAAGTTTTTCGTGACACATGGCAAGGACGCAGCCATCGTAGAGTCTATGAAAAATTATTCTTACAGGGGAAGGAAGGTTGGTCGAAGTGGCCTTTTGAAATGAAATGTATGCTGCCTTGTAGAGTTTGGGACGCTGATTCCAAATTAATCTTTGCTATCTGCTGCGGGCTTCTGGGCGAGGAGTTATGAAGGTTTTGTGAGTAAAAACCTGAATGCAAAAATGGGGTAAAATCAGTCGTAACCTCTTCGCAATGTTCAAATGAGGCAGCAGCGAAGTGGTACATTTGAATCAAAAATGCTTGTTTCACCGAGTGACCCGACTACCATCAGCCCTATAAAAAATGTTACGACTGATTTTAGCCTACTCTTGCATTTAGAATTTTACCCACGAAAACCTTCACACTCACGCAGAAGCTCGCAGCAGATAGCAAAGGTAGATTTCGAATCAGCGTTCCAAGCTCTACAAGGCAGTATACATGTTATTTGAAATAGCCACTTTGACCAACCTTCCTTTCCTTGTTAGATTAAAGAACGTAGAATAAGAGAGACTTTTGAAAATTTGGGTCCGGATAACGGAAAAGTGCCGTTTTTTCTTATAATTTGAGCATCCAGAGCTTTTTAGATTTTAGCTTATAGCTCGAAGTGTACTGGAGCTGGTGCGCACGCTTACATGCCATCTTATAGAGCTTGCTTTGCTTTATCGAATGGTGCCCTGATCCTAGTTAGCATTGAGAAGTTTATGACTCAATGCGGTCAAAAGTCAAAATTGAAAAAAAAAACTTATGAGACAATCTAACGTTATGTACCTCTCATTTTTCGGCCTTGGTTACAAATCCTAAATTGCACAGCTTTCTCCGTCCGAATGAAGTTAGTCACTGAGTTGCTAACTCAGCGTGACATAGTGAGACTGTCATTTGCTGACAAATCAATGCGCAATTACGAGTTTGAAAATTGATTTTCTTGATCGTCTTTCACAGTAAAAGTTATTTAATGGTATGGAATGACTGAGCAAGTTCGGCTCGCTGAAAAAAGTCTTTTGACGTTTCAATCTACCATATCAGCTTGTTAAGGTACGTAACACAAAATTTTATGCCACTTTGACATCTTCAGTTTTTTCCCGTGGGCATATCAATCAAAATACTGACATGTTTTACAGAGCAGTTTCTCGAAATAATTATTTGGTGCTACAAAGCTTTGGATCATGTTTTAGTATTTGTGCGCATGCTTAACTTATACATCCATATGCTTGACCCTCAGTGGCGTACCCAGGATTTCCGTTTGGGAGGGGGGGAACTTTTACAAAATCATACAAGCATTCGAGGTTCGGCTGTAAAAGCTGTAATACTTCTGCTGAAACAGTATTACACACGAATATTTCTATTCTCGAAGGGGTGCCCCCCCCCCCCCTCCTCGGTACGCCATTGCCAGGGAACAATACCAACTTCTCAGATAATCGCCGTGGGCAGGCGTCCATGCGAATTTTGA